TCAAATTGTTAAAATTTACTCACCTGCGCCCCAAAACCATTGTGGGGCTCAGGTAGATACCGTACATTTTGTACTAATCAATCATCTATACTAGTCTCGAACTTTTTCACCTGAGCCACAACCATGGTGGGGCTCAGTTGGATATGGTAGTTTTTAGAATTGTAAGTATTTAAGTGTCATTTTCGGGTACCTATTTAATTAATTCAGATTTTTTTACTCAATTCGTCCCAAATACAAGAAGTAGGCCTAAATGGCAGTTTAAGTTCCATTTCCAGGCAGCCAGAGGTATAAAATACTAAAATTTTCGCGTCACCGCCAACCACAGTGGCGCTGGCGTGGTGTGGACCCTCATTTCATCAGCACCCACCACTCCTTCTTTAAATTCTGGATACGCCACTGTTGCTGAAAACAATAGTTAAGCCAAATATATTTTCATTGGTTTTGTTGTTCATGTGAATGTCTGATAGGTTATTAAAAACAATGCTAAAAACACACAGTGTAAATGCCAAAATAGACACAAGTAGGACTGAGCTGAAAGACTCCGAATTATGCGCTATAGAAATGGAAGACCATAATGTATTATGGGACCACTCTGATAGGTCCTGCAGTACAATCAGTGTAAAGGTGTAAGATATAGGCTAGTGTGGATTTAAACAATGTCCTAATGATAATGTTCAAAATAAGTATCAAGGAAAATAAGTATGATTGTTGGAAAAATGGTCAACATTTTATTTTTATTTATCACCCTGTCCTTCGCCTGGGCGAACTAGGCGATGGTCTGGATCCGCGCCTGCGTGCAAGCATAAATTAAATGAGCGTATCATCGTGAGTGGATTTCCCGTAGGCACCTACGATGCGATTTAAAACGAAACGGCGCTGGTTTGGTCTACAGGAGCTCATTCTTCATATAGGGCATAGGTTAACACAATACCTATATTATTAAATACATTAATTAAAATAAGAAACTTAAATGAATCTTTTGACTAGTTTTAAATTACGTTAAAAAATTAATTAATTTCCATAAATCAATTTAAATAATTTTAATCATTATTGTTATTTTTTATACTGTTATTTTTATTTTTGAATTAAAGAGGATTTAACATGAAACGATTTGTTTCCGTATTATTGGTTATTATAACGCATTTATTCAGCGAACACTCACGCAACTGACTTTGTATATTTAAGAAGTTTTTAAGCTTACGCACATGCATTTAATACAAACTCGTAAAATATAATATATGATAATATATAATTAGCCATTATCATTATTATGTAGTTTTCTGTACAATTCTGAGCCACTCCGGATCTTTTTGCTTTTCTTCTTTCTCCCTGTATTATATATAAAAAAAAAAAATTGTTAACACTAACATTATATTTGCCCTAGTATTATGCCCGGACGAGGGGGCCGATTTCCCCAACGAGAGCAAAGTGGGCGTGGTCGTACGTCGCTTAAATTTTTTTTCTAAAGTGGACCAGGGTGGGGGAGAGGCAAAGCACTTCTTTCTAAAGTGGTCCAGGGGGGCGAAGTCCCCGAAAATTTTGATAATTTAGGGGTTTCAAAGGCTTATTTAATCGATTTTAAAGTCTACTAATATGAAAATACATTTTTTTTCCTCCCCGACGAATTGTGGTTTTTCTCCCCGACGGGTGGCCATGCCCCCACCCCGTCCTCCCCTCGTGCCACGCCTGTGCCAAACCCAGTACCATTTCGATTTAAATCGTACGGAAAATCCACTCAAAATGCAAATTTATCGGCGCTTCGGAGAGATTTGCACCCCCCCCCCCACCAGAGCTCTGCTCCAAGATGGCCCAGGTCCCGTGGCCTAAGGTTCTCACCTTGCTTGCTAAAACGCACCCAACACTTCACATAAAAATCCTGCCTATTGGCTTGAATTTCCAGTGGCGAATGTTAGTTGGTTTGATTTGTTTTCCCACAAAGTGGCGAATGTGTGGCGAATGTGTGGCGAATGTTAAATTACTGCAATTTGTACGTTAATTTTTTTTTTCGAAGTGACGAATAAGTTTAATGATGAATTATTGCTAATTAACCAATCGTTATTATTGTCATATATTTTATACACAGTATTAGGAGGCAATGTACTATAATCATATAGAAATTTAGGCAATTTCATATAAACGAAGGTATGCTAATAAAAATTACTATTTTCAAAAATCTTTAAATGCGTTTTTCTCAAAATGCACTTTTTCCCATTCGCTACTACGTTATAAGGGACGAATTAAGAAGGAATCTAAAGCAAAAATAAATAGGTCTATGCATATCGCTCCGATTGAAAAAGTCTTGTTGAGTGCGCTATGTCACAATAGCCTTCCTTATGATGATGATGATGATGATGATGATGATGATGATGATGATGATGATGATGATGATGATGATGATGATGATGATGATGGTACTATTTTTATGAAGTACTCTAACAACTTAATATAATGTTTCAACAATATTATTAAATTATATGAAGGGATAAATTAAATTTAGTTTAAAAACTTCAATGTTCTAGCTTAAAGATATGTCCTGTCTGCCACGAGCTGGTAAATATGAAAGATTCAATTCCATATTATCGTATATTCAAGGAAGATGTTAACTTACAATTGAAAATTAAATTAGAAAATAAATCCACAGATTATTAATATTGCCTTGATGATATTGGAAAGGCCTCACTTACACGTCAAAGACATGGATACGTAGTTTTTTTTTCCTTTTTTTTTATTTTTGTTCAAAATATTTTACACTAATTAGTTTAATTACATTTTTGTGTCTATGCCCCCTCGGGGCAAAGACATTATGTTATGATCTGGTAATTAAAGATGGCGGAAAGGGTAAATCCGGTGAAGGTGCATGATGTGTCATGTGTCACATTAGTAGGCCTACCTACAAAAGTCCTACATCACACATTTACTGATAACTGAATCCCACGTGGATACTTTATTAGTAAACGCAATACAGTAAGGCAATATAGGGCATGGACACACGCTCCCACTGGGAGCTTTTTTATTGTCTGCAAGATTTTCCAACTCTGTATACAACAGATTTCAAGAAATCAAAATATTCCCTTTGTAAAAAGAAAATTGACGAATGGGATTCTATTCTGATCCAAGTTAAGATTCATTTAAAAAGAAATGCATTTTGAAATGTTTTAAATTTTTGTTTGCACAATTGAGTCTGAATTTTAATGCAGCCTTCAATAATCCTTTCATTTAAATTCATTACATTAAATTATTATTTCTATACTTTCTGTCGTTTGATTACAATAGAATAAGTTAGATTATTTTTACAATGCTTATTATTATTGCTTAATCATTCATTTTTTATACAAATATTTCCAACTTTATCATTAGTAATAGTGCTGTGATATCATTTCAGTCCTTTTATTTTGATTACTTATTTATGGTGATAAAAACACACAGAAACTAATATGCCTATCTTTGTGCACTTAACATATTTTAGCTACTGCGGTGTGTGTTTAGATGCTATTGCCATTTCTATATTGTTTTATATTTTGGGGGTTGTTATATTGTACCTGAACTGTTAAATAATAATTATTATAATCACTATCACCATCAACATCATCAACGTCATCATCATCATCATCATCATCATCATCGTCATCAACGTCTTCATCAATGACATTATTAACGTCATCATCAACACTACTATCATTATCATCACCACCACCAACATTTATCATAATCACCATCTATATCAAAATAATCATCATCATATTTATTTTCATCAGCAGCAGCCGCAGCAACAGCAGTAGAAATAGGATTGTAGCAGTATATTGTATATTTGAAATATTATAGACATTTAAAATGATTGAGTAGGTGATTATGTTACTTCGTATACCTTTTCACTGTTTACGTAGGCTACTTCCATTTTGGCCTATACATATAGATTAATCGTACAAATAGGTACAAGAAGACACAGAATGACACAGTGAAAAGTTTACTGACAACGGAATATAATAATATATATAGGCCTAAGTATAAAAATCTGAACTGCATGGTTTAGGCCTATATTTTCCAAACCCATGCCAACATAGTCGGCTAATTTTTCATATAATTTGCCTTTCTTACTAATAAAATTAAATAAACTGTAATCTTATTAATTTTATAATCTGCCGTGTGCTTTCGAATATACTGAAAGCGATATTATTGTTATTTCATGATGGGTATATTTTAACGGTATGTCAATAATTCGATTGAGTTTAGACACTTAAATTAGAAAATACGACGAGGTGCCACGCATTGGCGAGTGGCAGCTATTCTCAATCGATCGTTTGATTATACATTATTTGTCTATGTAGTCATGGAAACACCAGAACGCATACCTCAAGTAATATTATGCATACATTTGTATGGAACCATAATAATTGCGCTTGGACAGCAGAAAAACGTTTATCATTTAGGCCCAGTGGTGCTGAAGTAACTTATAGATTAACAAGAAATTGTTGGCTACCAAGACCCGCCCATAAACCCCGTTAGAATTATTTAAATCTAAGCCAACTTGGTGCGATTTTAATTTATAATAACAGAGTAAAACGCTTATAAAAGGATTTAATTTTGCATGAGAAACTAATTATCACGAAGACAATTTGTAAAAAGGGAAGCTCGATCGCATTATGCTTTAATTGAGACTAATAGTCTTTCGTTGAATAATGCACCATTTACTGCAATAACCAACAATATCAGAGCAACTTCATTCAGTCGTTCTTTGTCGTAGGCCTACTAATAATGCTGAACACATCGAAATTCACCGTTTTCATATAATTCAAAAATATCTTTACACACGATTCTTGCAATCAAAAATAGTTAACAAGGTGAGTGCATAAGTAATTGTAGAGGGCCTTTATAAAATTGTTGAGGTTTCGCAAGCTTACAAAAACGATAACCAATACGGCTACGTCATCAAATGTTTAGTCTATCCATCCCCCCCCCCCCCCCCCCAGCATGGAGGAATTAATTTAAACTAAACTAATTCCTCCTTGCCTACAGTAGCATATCAGTCACAACGTAGGCCATCCATACCTTCTACAAATTGGCGATCACATTCAGCTCTGATATGTATTTTCAAGAACGTTTTAGGCACAAATGACAATAATGAAGATGACGTAGGCCTATTCGCATTCGTTATTGTTTTCGTAAGGTTTTACCTGTTACTACTACTACTACTACTACTACTACTACTACTACTATTATTATTATTATTATTATTATTATTATTATTTCAATCAGTCACATTTGTCAGCGTGCAGTTGCAACACACCTTTCTTGTGAAGTTTCAAGATTGCTGAAAATTCATCACTAAAGCTGTGAGATTTTGAAGGAAGCGTTGTTGGTGGTTTATCTGTGTAGTAGTGATATCGTATTGGCTCACCGACAGAGTTTGACTTAAATGGCCAAAACCCATACAAGTGCACTTCGTCACAAAAAGTCAAGGCATTAGACACCCAGTAAATTCCTAAACAAAAATTATAAACAGACATTAAATTGTTGAATATTAAAAATCTCGACTTTACTAGATATTTGTGTTTTCACATAGTCGTTCTGAAGATAGCTGTTCAAAACACTGTTAAAATATATATAAACAAAAGAAAGGTAAATACAGTGTTCGAATAAAGGGCGTGCTAATACAATGTGTACTATGGCTCTCAACGAAAGTTGCCCTATAAATAAATAGTGTAATAAAATGCTTCCCACGAGATTCGAACCTGCGACCTCTCGCTGTTAAGGCGAGCGTCATAACCATTAGACCACAGAGGCATCATGGTTGAACAGATTCAAATAACGTTAGATACACTCCGGATTACAAAATAGGTACGGCTGGAAACAAATAATAACATATAATATAAATCAAGATAGCCGTTAACCCTGTTAAAGATGTATTGTCCCATGCTAAATATTAAAAAAATCATAAAAATATTTTTTGAAATTAACTTGCCCATTTTGAAGTAACATAAATGTTAATCAAATTGAACATAAAAGTGTTTTTAAAAAATGTCTACAGCGAAAAATGATAGAAACACTTCCAGTCACTGGAAGCGTTTTATTATTTTTATATAATTTTTTGGATTAAAAATCAGGGTACACATTTTTAAAATTCAATAATTTCTATGCACAAGTTAATAATTTGTATGTTATTGCAAAATGAGCAAGTTTATTTCAAACTTATTTTTTAATGATTTTTTGACATTAGCAAGGGGCAATACATCTTTAAAGAAAGTTAGCCTAAATACAGTGTTGGAATAAAGGACATGATAATACATCGTGTAGCATAGCTCTCAACGAATGTTGTCCTATAAATAAAGATATATATAGAATATATATAGATATATATATAGAAACACTTCCAGTCACTGGAAGCGTTTTATTATTTTTATATAATTTTTTGGATTAAAAATCAGGGTACACATTTTTAAAATTCAATAATTTCTATGCACAAGTTAATAATTTGTATGTTATTGCAA